GGATGATCCGATGATTAATAATCCTTAAAGGGTTAATTCCAAACCTCAACTATTTGCTCCTTTTCCTCCAGAAACACAGATATGAACCTGGAACAGATTAAACTAACATTAAATCCTGTTGGATTCCTCTGACTCCGCCCACAGGACGCCGCATTAACGTTACTCCATCCCAATTAATTAGACTGCGGTCCCGTGTGTCATGGAAAAGCACTGCAGGGGCGACTCGGACACGCCATCAACACGTTTGCACACCAATGGAAACCGGATGAGGCGATGGTGACGCCATCGAAACGCTCCTGCGGCCAAAATGACGCCCTGAACCTGGAGTTCATTGAATGAAATAAGACGAATACGCCTCCCATCCAAAAACACTGTCGATACATTTAGATTTTAACCCATTTAATAAAGGTTAATGCACAACTCCACCCATTCCTGAACTCAAGGCAGCATCTATGTTGACCTGACCCCCGGTAACCATGACAACAATGGCCAAACAAACCTGGATTAATCAGGTCCTCAAGTAGAGAAAGGCAGGAAACTGCTTAGAGCCCATTAGCTGTTAAATCCCCATATTTCAATAAATTTTTATAGAATAAAGGTTTGATTTTTTCAGCCTGAATAGAGACGAACTGCAGGTTATTTAGTGCAGAAATGCAGTGCTGATTATTCCCAGTTGGATTGGTGGTCCTTTGAGCAGATAATCCCAGATTTAAAATGTTTTCACGGACACACGGCAGCAGGAGAAGGACAACAATCAATATGTCTGCCAGCGCCGGCACCATATGGGGGCGGAGGCCCAATCCAATTTGTCCTGATTACTGACAGCATTTCTGCGGTGAGTTCGAGGCCACGCGGGAAGCCTGGCGAGCGTCCGGGGGCCCACGTGTGACAGCGCTGGGGATTTCAGAGCCCCGGCTCTCACATATCGACGTTTTAAAAGCTTCACGCCGGCAGAAATCAAACGAGATTAAAGTGACAGCGCTCACATGACCCAGAAACCTGAGGCTGGTTTCTGGGGCTCCGGCTGCACCTCGGGAGCCTCTCATGGAGGGCAGAATTGGAACGTACTCTTTGGAGTACGTCAGGACATAAGCCACCTCCTCGCCGGCCGTCAGGTTGTCCAGCGGGTGCCACCAGCAGGTGAAGTCCTCCATGTTGGGCGAGCGGCAGTAGTAGATCTGAGGCCTTTTCATCACATCAGCTGTTGCCTCTGTGGGTAAAAACAAAGATTTCAACATTAAAACAGCTCAGTTTTCATAATGTGGTGGAAAAAAATCCATGTCCCATTAATTCCCTGTTCATATATTGATTATGAGTCTATGAAGGTTTCTAACAGAGAGGGGGGGGGGGTTATCCTATTAGAGAGATAAAAATAATGCTTCTTATAACAAGCTAGGCTGTTTCTCAGGGATTATTTCACAACATTATGTGTTATTTCCAAACCGTTTGGGTAACGATATGTGGAGAGTTTCACTGCCTTCCTGCAGGGTTTTAATAAAGCCGGGCTTAAAGGTGCAGTACATCTTTTCTGATGCATTTTTTTACTACGTGGCTTTAAGAAGGTCTGGAAGTGAAACTAAAATAAATTGTCCCCGCTACAGAGTGAAACTGATGAATAACCCCCACCAATCACAAAGCACGGTCCGGGGTCCACTATTGGTTCCTGACACGTCAATCATGGTCGTCTGCTTGTCCCTCCCCCTGTGTTCGTACCCTGACAGATGAGCGAATCGACACCCCAATGCTCGTGCAGGTGCGAGGACCAGTGATGTCACGTCAACTCAGTCACGTTACCTAGTTCAAAGCCATATTGTCTCGATAGCAGCGGCAGGAAAGCGGTATATTGTCGTTAGCTCGTGTCACGAGCACTCAGCTTGTTTCGTTCTGGATCTCGTCTGAACACCTCGACAGATAGCCTGCGCGTTGATGTGTCTTGAAGGCGTGGTTCCGAGGGGTTCGAAGGGAGAGGGTTAGAGCCAGATGCATGTCTAGCGCCGCCTAGCTCCACTCACATACATCTGGGAACCCGCCATAGGAATTGCCTTTACTGAAGGCTGGGCCTTATCAAAACTCCTTGCATATGATTGGATAAGCCACTTGTCTGTCATCTTTATCGACGTGCTATTTCAACCACTCACACCGAAGCTAACCCGTGACGCTCCCAGCAACAAA